TCTACACCAGAGATAAGTAGAATTGGAATTGCTTGCCCAGAGAGTGTGTACATTTGAAATTTTATCGAACTTGACAAATCATCCTCCAGAAAACTGTGTAAGAGTACATATTTATCCACAATATACTGAAGTTTAATATTAAAACTTTTTTACCTGTTGCTAAATGATGGATTTGAAATTGTATCTATTTTCATTTGCATTCCCTTAGTTACTGCATGGCTAAGCATCTTTCCTATTTACTNTCTCCAGGGGATCTTCCTGACCCAGGGATTGAACCTGGGTCTCCTGCATTGCAGACAGATGCTTTACTGTCTGAGCCACCAGGGAACTAACCCTGGGGTCCTTCATTTCTTCTTTTCCTAGTTGCTTTAGGTGTAACATTAGGTTATTTATTTGATTTTTCTCTTGTTTCTTCAGGTAAGCTTGTATTGCTATGAACCTTCCTCTTAGCACTGCTTTTACTGTATCACATAGGTTTTGGGTTGTATGTTCATTTTCATTTGTTTCTATGCATATTTTGATTTCCTTTTTGATTTCTTACACGATTTGTTGGTTATTCAAAGGTGTGTTGTTTAGCCTCCATATGTTTGTATTTTTAAAACTTTTTTTCCTGTAGTTGACATCTAATCTTACAACATTGTGATCAGAAAAGATGCTTGAAGTGATTTCAATTTTTTTGAATTTACCAAAGTTAGATTTATGACCCAGGATGTGATCTATCCTGGAGAATGTTACCTGTGCACTTGAGAAGAAGATGAAATTCATTGTTTTGAGGTGAAATGTCCTATAGATATCAGTTAGGTCTAATTGGTCCATTGTATCATTTAACACTGTGTTTCCTTGCTAATTTTCTGTTTGGTTGATCTATCCATAGGTATGAGTGGGGGCATTAAAGTCTCCCACTATTATTGAAGATACTGTTAATTTTACCTTTCATACTTGTTAGCATTTGTCTTATGCATTGAGGTGCTCCTATATTTAGGTGCTGCTTTTAATATTTGCTCTTTGTGTTTGATCTTTGTTAGTTTGATTAATATGTGTTTTGGGGCATTTTGCCTTGGGTTTGTCCTGTTTGGGGCTCTCTGGGTTTCTTGAACTTAGGTGGCTATTTCCTTCCCCATTTCAGGGAAGTTTTCAGCTGTTATCTCCTCAAGTATTTTCTCATGCCCTTTCTTCTTCTCGGACACCTATGATTCGAATGTTGGGGTGTTTGACATTGTCAATCAAGGGTGATTTTGTCCCTCAGGGCACATTTGGAAATACCTGGAGAAAATTTTTGTTGTTACAATTAAAGGGAAAGGAATGGTGTTTCGGTATCTAGTGGATAGAGGTCACAGAGGCTGTTAAATATCCTGCAGTAGGCCTACTGCAACAAAGACTTATGTGGTCCAAAGTGTTAACTACTGAGCTTTCTCTAGTTGCAGTGAGCTGGGACTACTCTTTATCATGGCTTCTCGTTGCAGAGCACCGACTGTCACCCAGAGGGTTTTAGTAGTTGTGGATGTGAGCTCTAGAACACAGGCTCAGTAGTTGTGGCACAGGAATTGAACCAGCGTCCCCTGCATTGCAAGGTGGACTCAAGCACTGGGCCACCAGGGGAACCCCAATCTCTTTTAATTGAAGCCATTAGTTTATTTACATTCAATATACTTATCAATGGGAAAGCCCTGGTGGCTCAGGGGTAAAGAATCCACTTATCAATGCAGGTTCCATCCCTGGGTTGGGAAGATCCCCTAGAGAAGGAAATGGCATCCCACTCCAGTATTGTTGCCTGGAAAATCCTACAGACAGAGGAGCCTGGTGGGCTAGGGCTCTAGTCCATGGGGTACCAGAGTCAGATAAAATTTAGCAGCTAAACAACAATGCTTATCAATAAGGTTCATTTTAAATTCGCCATCTCACTATTTGTTTTCTATTTTTCTTAATGGTTCTCTGTTCTTTCTTTCCTACTTTCTTTAGAACCAAATATGTGTGTGTGTGTGTGTGTGTGTGTGCACACACATGCACATATGTACATTTAGTATTCTATTGACTTTTTAACATATGCCTCATTTTAATACAACTAACCTCTTGACCAGTCATGAAATACATATGTATGTGTGTATGTATAAATATACACATACACACATAGATATTCATATATATGTAAATCCCATGGACGGACGGAGGAGCCTGGTAGGCTATAGTCCATGGAGTCGCAGAGTTGGACACAACTGACCAATTTAATATACTATACTCTTGTCTATGTATCTATATCTATATATTTATCTCAGTATGAGCACTTAGCTCCCTAATGCTGAAGTTGTCCAAGCCCTCTGGAACTAATATATTCCAGGTTCATCATGTTCTTTTGCTGCTCCAGCAGAAGTAATCAGTTATTTCTCCAGAGAGCCTTGGATCCTTTTCAGTATAGAATAATGCTCAGAATAACATTCAGATCTGGGATCTAAGTGTGTTCATTGCTATGCGGGCACTAGTAATCTCAGACCTTCTTAGTAAACAAAGCTAGGGGCTATACATATAAAAACACACATTTCCTTACACGTATTACCTCTAAATTAATTTCTATATCTAATACTTCCTCTCTCCAACAACTTTGAAAATTCTAATTCTCTCCATTTCCATGTTTGCAATTTCCTTCAACAGAATCTGCTCCCATCATCTTAAAAATATTTTAATACTTGATAAATCCTTATGTAACCAATCTCCCATGATCATCTCTCCCAGTCCCTGGTGTGGATGCCCTCCTTAGCCTATGCCACATCAGTCCTCTTTGTGGTTCCTGCTATACATTCTGACACCTCCTGCTAGGGACTGACCCCCACCCCCCAACTACCATCCAGTGATTTAAAATTTTCTGGTATATTTATTAGCAGTCCTAGAATCATCTATTTGGCTTGAAAATTCATCTGTGTTAGTAATCTACAAGTCTGTCTCTTGACTGCTTACTCTTGATAAAGGATCCAATTCCTTCCCTCTTTTGGTCTGTATTATGTACATAAGAAAGTGAAAGTCATGTCCGACTCTTTGTGACCCCATGGACTGAATACTAGAATGGGTAGCCTTTCCTTTCTCCAGGGAATCTTCCCAACCCAAGCATCAAACCCAGGTCTCCCACATTGCAGGCAGATTCTTTACCAGCTGAACCACAAGGGAAGCCCATTGGAAAAGACCTGATGCTGAGAGGGATTGGGGGCAGGAGGAGAAGGGGACAACAGAGGATGAGATAGCTGGATGGCATCACCGACTCGATGGACATGAGTTTGAGTAAACTCTGGGAGTTGGTGTTGGACAAGGAGGCCAGCCTGGCGTGCTGCGATTCATGGGGTCACAAAGAGTCAGACACAACTGAGCGACTGAACTGAACTGAACTGAACTGATGTATATAAGAACAGTATAAGGTGTAATCAGTGTCTGTGCAGACACAGCATGCCTTTCATTCTAGGTTCCGCCTGCAGTGCAGGAGACCCTGGTTTGATTCCTGGGTCAGGAAGATAGCCACTGGAGAAGGGATAGGCTACCCACTCCAGTATTCTTGGGGTTCCCTGTGGCTCAGCTGGTAAAGAATCCGCCTGCAATGTGGGAGACCTGGGTTGGGAAGACCCCCTGCAGAAGAGAATGGCTACCCACTCCAGTATTCTAGCCTGGAGAATTCCATGGACTGTATAGTCTATAGGGTCTCAAAGATTCTAGGTGGCTAATGTGAAGGACTTACCGTTCAGAATCTCCCACAAGTTGAACTGAGCCAGAGCTGAGCCAAAGGTTTAATTAGATTGAGTTCACCTTCAGTTATCCCAGTTTGTGAACTCCCAAGCCTCATTTGCTGAGATAACCAGTGATTTCATCTTTTTAGTGGTTGAACTAAAAAGTGTTTGAAAATGTCTGTTTGACATAGTTTGGATTTAAATTTGGTTCCAACCATGGCAATTAAGTGTGATGGGCAAAGCTGCATGAATTCTCTTCACTTACAAGGCCCTCCTTCACTGCCACTTCCTTGACGAAATTCCAGGGAAAGGGGGCAGAATTATGTCAGCAGTTACTGCCCTTGCAGACCCGTCTCACAGACCCACAGTGTTGTCAAAAGTTTGGCTGGTTTCCTCTTTCCTGCAAAATCTCCCAGTCCATGGCAGCTCCAATTCTAACACAAACCAAAAGATGTGGGGAGTAGGTGGGATCTATTGCCAGACCAGAGATTTTAGCACACCTCCAGGAGACAGAATGGATACAAGAGTATTAACTGGGTGGCAGAGAAAAGCAAGCAGTAGCCTAGCAGCCTGGCAGAAGATGCCCCGAGGAAGCTGTGTCTGAGCAGCCCAGTACAACTCCAGAAAGGCTTCAGCATCAGAGACTGCTGGAAAATTAAGGAAGAAGCTGAGAAATGGAGTTGGTATTAGCATAATTAAAAACTGAAGATCTTTATATCAACTAATTGCCTATCTTCCCTATACTTATATTCCTACAGTGGTGATGCAGTAGTCATTGTGTCCAACTCCTGTGATCCCATGGACTGGAGCCTGCCAGGCTCCTCTGTCCATGGAATTTCCCAGGCAAGAATACTGGATTTGGGTTACCATTTCCTTCTTCAGGGAATCTTCCTGACCCAGGGATCAAACCCATGTCTCCTGCTTTGCAGGCAGGTTCTTTACTACTGAACCACCAGGAAAGCCCTATGTGCTTATAGCCAGGTGTTTACCCCCTTGACAAAATATGCAAACAGTTCTCTAAGGGCATGTAGGTATTTACACCTGAATAAAACCTTGTTTTGGTATGTGGGAGTCCCACAGTATAAAATCTCGCTTAAAGCTCAGTTTGAGATGCAGTTTCTTAGCCAGCCACAGGTGTGTCATTTGGGGAGAGTTACTTAAGTTCATTTCCTCAGTTTCCTTTTATTCATAGAAGTATATCCATCATAAAAAGTGGTTGTGAGAATTTAATAAAATCATGTATACGAAAGTGCTTAGCACAGTGACTGGAACATAATAAACATTCAATAAATGATAGCCATTGACATTTTTATTGTTACTGATGAATTAGTTGTTTTACGTGGAAAGGGGGGAAAGAATCCAAAGGTTAGGTTTTGGAAAAAATATAGCAGTATCTCTTCTAATTAGGTAGGAGAGAAATAGATGAGAATGGGTATGAATGCATGTGGATGTATAATAAGATTACAAATCAAAATCCCCACCCCACTTTCCTCACAAATACCTAATTGTGTAGAACAAGAAATCAATATGCATTAGGATTCCAAAGAACCTAGAAATACCTATTTTAAAATTGCATTAAGATGGTACCCACCTGAAACTCCATCAGTATTCAAACAAAATTATTTATTTAGAGAAAATCCACTGTGTTTGCGTTTCCAAGACATGACAAAGGATTTTTTAAAATATTCAGTATAGAATACCATTAACATTGAAAATTGTGCCCAAAGAACCTAGTGCAAGATTAAAACTGCTTTCAAGTCTTGTGATTTACACTAAGAATTAATCAAATATTGCTCAGCATGTTGGTATGTTTTAATATAAAAATATTTTTAATTTACATGGAATAAACACTGCTGGTCTAGGGAGATATGCCATGTTCCTCACTTACCCTGCCACACCGATTTAAAATTGATCAAGAGTTCTAGGTCCAGACCAAACAGCAACAACAAAAGTTTACTAAACTTGTCTACTTGCTCTTAATTAAATTCATAGTTAAAAAAATATAATATTGTAAGGTCATCACACAAGATGACTGGCCAATTCAATTTTTTAAATCAATCAAAAGGGTTACATATTAACATTAAAAAAGCTTTGCAATCAGCCTACAGTGTTCGAGTTTTGAATCAGCTTTGGTCTAAGTAATAGTTCCTAAAAAACATAAATGTAAATGTTTATTAACAAAATAGCTGCTCAAAGTAATTGCTTTGCTTAAATTTCATTCTTTCATACTTTATACCTATGTGTTGCAACTATTGTGGATATGCCAAAGATAAGATGATTTTAGTTTTCTTAGCTTGTCATGAAACTGCTTATGTTCTGAGGCCCCCTTTTTTCCCCTCTGATTTTACAATCTAGTAGTTACTGATAGGCACAGGTAAATGCTTTGTTCATCAGACTTTCTTCTAATGATTTCCATATCTGTCTATATGTTTCTAATGGGATATCAAGGAAAGATTCAATCATACTGGAGGACATGATGAAAAGGGACTCAACCTTGAAAGAGCTACTTTTTGGTGATAATCAGGCATGTTTTCAATCAAACCTATCTTAAAGTTTTCCCTTAATCTTTATCCTTATCGCTCTTTACCTACAAATGTGATATTTGTTTTCTTTTCACTGATGCTGTAATTGTCTTTGGTAATTGTTAACAATGAGGATCTTGAAATAATACCCACTTAAGGTAAAACTGTCAAGAAAATGTAATAATTTACAGTCAGACTATTCCAATTTCTCCTTAGGAATCTAAATTCATTCACTCAATTAAACGTATTTTAAAAATACCTCCTATTATAAGCAAGGCACTCTTCTGGGTAACTGTATGAGAAATATCAAGATGTGTAGGCCTTTGCTTGAAAAGAGATGACAGTCTAGTATCTTCCAATATAGATGTTAAAAAGTGCTGACAGATTTAACTCCTTTGAGCATTTACTATCAAATATACTTAATCACATGGTTAAAATTAAGCCATTTTCTTCTGACATATATAATATTAACACATCACCTGTGGAAAGGTAATGTAGAACACTGCCTTGAAGGAGGTTAGGCTCTAAATGTGAAAGAATACATATAAAAAATGTAGTACCCCAAACAGTAAACATATTTAAGCCAAAATTTACAAATTAAATGTACAGTTACAAATAGACTTTAATGAAGATTCTGGCTCAAAAAAATTCTACCCACTAATGCATTAGATATAAATGCATTTTAATTAGCAGTGTAACTTTTAAAAAGTGTTTAACTTATGAAAACACTGTTCATAAAAATTGTTTCCTGAAAAAGGTCTTTTCTCTAGAATTTCATATTAAGAAGAGGGAGATAGAAAGCTATACAATAAAAGATAAATCCAAATGTCCCATAAGAGTTTAGTCAGAGTAAATTAAAACAAAATTTTGAATGAAATAATAGTTTTGTTTTTTAAAAAAGATGTTTTTAGATGGTTTTTTTTGTGTGTGGTTTTTAACAAGGTACCACACAAGGAAACAAGTCAACAGTATGTTGAAAAACATCTCTATGTTATCTATTTCTTTTAGTGGCATGGTAAAATTTTGCCGTTTCATAATTTCTATCACTTTAAATAACCCCTTCCTAAACATACGATATATAAAACAGAGGCCATAAGAAAATTAGTCTCATTGTCACATCTGTTTCTGAATCCTTAGGTAAAAGTAAGCAATTATCTTTCCTGTAATATTCCTTCTCCAAACTATCACTTTGTTTCATCAAAGTTTAAGTAGGCTCAAATCACATTTTTAGCCCAGACCTTTTTCAGTTGTACTTTATAGAAAATATATATCAAAGTATTAGCGCTGTGGCTGTAAAAATGTCTGCTACCTTTTGAATGCGATTTTTAGTAAAATGTTAGTTTCACTTTATAAAGAATACAGGATATACTTTTCTATTTTGCTTTCTCAGAGTACACGGATATGCTTTAGTTAAAGCTCATTTGCTCAACACTGGCTCAGAATTTAAAAGATGATTTTACTTAACGTTAATTAAACTTTTGTAGCTGTAAGCTCATCATTTTAACACTTGGCTTGTCTGCTACACTATTTCTGAGTAGTAGTGAAATACTATACTATTTCATTTGGATGATGTTGATGTAAATATGTAACCAAATATTAGAAAATTTCGTAATACTTGTACATTTTTTGACTATCCCTTTTAATATACTAAAATATGTGAAAAATTAATTTTTGACAAAATTTTATTCATAGCATTAGGAAAATCATACTCAAAACACAGAAATAATCAGACTATATAACAAGGCTGCATAGATAGTGGTATACCAGTTCCCTGACGCTAAGTGACCTCTTTCTAACCAGAACTGCTATTTTCAAGTCACAGGTAGAAAATGGTAGAGGCGTTATTTCCTCTCTCTGAGGCTGGAAAAAATGGCTTTTATGGTGAGAAATTACACCATTTAAACAGCAAAGATTAGAGCATCCTCCAGTTTAAATCTATTCCCTTCATGTTATTTTTCAGAAATGAAAACTTAGAATGTTAGGATTATTAGAAAGGAATAGGAGGTAAATTACCTTTTAGGAGATAGCCCAATCCATGCCTGCTTTAATTAGATAAAACACTGAAGTTTTAAAAATTACAACCACACCATTATGCTTAACTAGAATTGCCAGTATGAATACTTTTTTTACATAATACATTACAGGTATACAAGAAAAAAAAGAAATGACCCTGTTTCCAATCCTTTGACCTCAAGTAGAAAAAAGTGTTACCACTAATGGGGATCTGAAAAATTGTTTTCATGACACAGCATTAACTTTACAGAGATCAAAAGCACTTCTCAATACTGAAAATAGCCTAAATCAATGACAAATGGCTACATTTCTTTCATAAAATTACATTTTGAAAGGGAAGACAATTTATTTGGGAGGAATTTGTAGCTGAAAACATTTTTATTAAGAAAACATTGTTACCCTGAGAAAGACTCTTAAAACTGCCAGTGCTTTCAGAGGCTCCCAGCAAGGCATGAAGGAGCAAGTTGTAGGCTCTGGCTTCTTACAGTTACCTACAGGAAGAATGTTTTTACCTAAACAGTGATTTGGGCTTCTCTGCGATACTGGTAACAGGTCACAGCCAAGTGTCTAAATGTGATGGACGATAAGCAAATTTTACATATTCATTTTAAGCAGACTTCTTCCTTTTCCCTTTTCTGAGAGTGAGTCTGAAATTCTTCAAATGGTTTTGGACTCAAACCTACTGTTCACAAAAATAATCTTCTGTAAGCACATTGGTAGTTTTCTTATAACAGTAAGCAAACTGTCTGGTTTACATTCTCTAATCTATGCCTTGGGAAAGAAGGCATTGGTGATTCTTCATTGGCCACTGCAGAGCAGAGACGAGTCTTCCTTCTAATCAGAGGCATATGCAAACATTCCTCAAAGTGCATTGTCATTATTTTTCAACATCTCTTATGTATTGACAAAGTCAACATTTTGACTCCCTATATACTTTTAGTACAAAATGCTTACTCCCAACTCCTTACACATACCATAATTACTTGAGAAAAGACAAAATAAGATCAGCTACAGAAGTAGCAAGATATTTTTTCAAATAAAAATACAATATACAAAAAATGGCAAGTTAGTGATAAGTGGTAGAATAAACTCTCAATAATACTCCACTTTGGGTTCCAAATTAAGATTTAACGAGTTTGAAGCCTTGTCCTGTATCCAGCACAGCAGGAAGAAACCAACTCATTTTTAATCTTTTCAAGCACCTAAAACAAGTCTTGCAGATCCAAAAAAGGTTCAGACCACACAACCAATTTGCCAAATGCACTAGTGGATACGTAATACGAGGAAAGTACAGCATCCAGTGCTTGGCCACGTCGCTTCCCGTTGGCAGGTGCAGCGTGTAGTCACTCCACCGTTTAGACACGCCGTACACTGCTTTCACTGTGCGTCCCTTTTCAGTCCAGCAGATGTTATTAGTGGTGTTGCAGTTATATTCTACCCAGTCTTTTGTGAAGTCACCCAGCTGAGGTGGGTCAGCTTCTTCGATATCTATTGTCTTTGTCATCTCTGCTCCTTGCACTGCAATATACTGGTCGTTGATTTTTCTTACTTCTTTCACCCAAGGAGTTGAATTCTCACTGTCTAATATGATAATAAGTCGGGAACAGAAGGAACCATTCTTTTCTCGCCACCATTCTAAAAGTGTGTCAAGGCGTAGTATGTCACCACCTGTGAACAAAAGAAAGTTCAGTAGAGCAATTTAAGTGTCTTACTAACAATACTATTTTGTCTTGAGTGTATTGTCTTTAAGTTTTCAAAGTTAAATATGTAAGAAAAAAGAGGGTGCCTTCTTTTCAAAGTATCAGAAGAATTTTCAGAAACAGAAAACAGACTTTCAACTTCAAGTAAAACCAAAAAAAACTAAAAAATCCAATCACCCTGTTTCTTAAAGAGAGATGCTATGATTAAAAAAAATGCTACGATAAAATAAGAAAATTATTTAATAAAGTTAAATTTGGTGAAAAGAAATTACACAGCAAAGCTAATGTTCTACATTGGGCAGCAAATTATGACCTGTGGTCATATCTAGCCTGCCGCTAGTTTTGCATGGCCTGAGAGGTAAGAACTGATTTTACATTTTTAAATGGTGTAAAAAAAATTTTAAAGAGAAGTTTGTGATGTAAAAATTAAGAGGAAATTTAAATTTCATGTTTCTATAGATGTCTATCACTGCTTTTATTCTATAAAAAGCTAAGTATAGTTGCAACAGGGACTTTATGGCCTACCAAGTCAAAAATACCTGATCCTTACAGAAAAAGGGTGCTTACCCCTGTTCTACATCTCTGATAAACTGTTAACTTATCCTCATATGTGGGTACCTACTAGATAAAAAACACTCCCCCTCCTAGTAACAAGAGTTTGGAATTGGTTTATTTTTAAATCAGTTTTATACCCCAAAACAACAAAGGATTAAAAAAAAATATATCAGAAATGTCTAAGATAAAAATATTTCTGACCTAGAAAGCTGTCTTACAGCTACTCATTATACATTTTGTTCATATTGTATGGCGTTTTTTTTGCATTAAAATTTTAAATATACTGTATTAAAATTTGATCACTTAATTTTTAGTACTCCATTAAATTTTGTGCCCTAGGCATCTGCCATTCTCACCTCACTCTAGTTCTGGCTCTGTCTCAAATGGTACACTAATCCAATCCTTCCAATTCTAGGAATTTATCCTAAGAAGGGGCAGGGATGTGGACAAAAATCACATACAAAGATCATCTTCCCACTGCTACCTCAGATAGTGTAAAATCTGAAACAACTGAAGGAATGGAAGTAATTATAAGTTTATGAGGGAGTTTTATTATAAATCATATTTATAAAGAAATTTTAATAACAAAATATGATATTAGGAGAAAAAGCATGACATAGAAGTATATCTACAAAAATAATAGCAATAGTTATTGTCTGGGTATTCGGACTTCAGGTGGCTTTTGTTATACTTTTTTATATCTTCCAAAATTTTTACATTGTTATTTTTATAATTAGAAGAAAGTTTTAACATGCTACAATTTACTAATACAAGCTCCAACAACCTAGCTCCAGAATAGGTATTTCTAACAAGAGCAACCATCTTTGCTAAACTATCAAAATGACAATACTGGAGAGACAGAAAATCTTTTAGAATTTGGATTCTATCAGTAATATGATCTATAAAGACAGAGCATATATCAAATTCTTTATGAATAATAAATATTTTTTTATTCACCACACTGTGACAATGCAGAATTTGTTTCATGAATTGCTCTTACACACGTTTGTCATCTCTGAGGCGCTATTTTTCACGTTATTACTAATGTATTGCTTCACAGACACCTCTATAAGGTACGTTTTTAAAAGGATCAAGCTCACTTTTCATTATTTCTACTTATATTAAACTTCTCTGGAGAGGACAACATAGATTATAAGAGTTATACAAGTTCCATCTGCCATAAAACATTGTCTAACTTGCCTTCTACAACTATTTCAATAAATATTCTGTAGCACATGCTTACACTAATTCTTATACACATGCTCTTTAGATATTAGCAAGAAATTACAGGGCTTTTTAATGCTGTTTTAATACTAATTCTCTTGTCTTGTTTTGCTCTACTTTCTCCTATGAAAAGGTTCTATGTCAAATTTGGCTTTTGGCCCAGATGTAAAGTACTTACATTTATCTCAGTAACATCTGATGCTGTTCAAGTAATTGAGACTGTTTTTAAAGACTTTATCTGTGATAAACTGCTTTATAGGTTAAATAGATTGTTTCATTTGTCTCTCTTGTCATTACCAAATTGTTTTTTACCCTCAAGCAAAGAGGCAAAGATACTAGGTTCCACATTATGAAGTCCTACAAGTGTAAGAAGACTACATATTCTAAGAAGTACTGTGAGTAAAGATATGGGTAAAGGAGCACAGATTTTTTCTCACAGTGAGTTCTGACCTATTCTTAACCTCAAGTAAAATCTAATCCTGATGCTTCCTATCTAAAGGTTTTAAGAAAAAAAAATTTTTAAAGAAAACTATTTATTAATAAGTTCTCACACTTAGCATGCACGCAGAGCTTAGAGTTCTTTGTCACTTAGACTGGAATGGAAAGTATTTTCTTCAGAGCAGGGGTGTTCAATAACACTTCTGAGAAAAAATCAACTTCTGGGGCTGTTTCAGGCAGGCCAAGGGAAGGAACTGATTGAAAACAGGATGCATTCTCTGGGCCCGGTTTAATCTGCAAGTGAGCCAGGTGCCTCAGGCCAGCGGGGAGTACATGGTTGCTGAATTATGGGGCAAAGCCGAGCCCTCTTGACAGTAAGGCCTGTCAACCTATGCTTTCTCCACTGTTTTGTTCTACTTTTACAATAAAGTGTCTCACAGAGAAAATTACACATACAGGAACAAGTCTTCCTGGCTAAAAGAATTCTGTAATGGTCTACTTATCCCATCTTTATAATATTTTTAATGTATAATATTGTAGAAGGTAACTATTAGACATTTATTTACCTAAACTATAATACTACTTTAAAGTGTCTTAAATTATTCTCAATTCACAGTGAAGGAAAACATAAGAACACTGACATTTATGCTACTGCTATTCATCCTGGTGTCTATTACATTTTCTAAGAAAAAACTACTATAAATATCAGTAAACTGAACATCTAGAGTTTATTTCCAAAGCCATCTTTTAAAAAATATTTGAGATAAATTAAGAGTTAAGAAAATACAAACTTTTGGGAAAATGTTTATATTAAGTAATAAATACTTCATGTAAACATAAGCTTGCTTTAAAAACAATTAGACCTAGAGACTGTCATACAGAGTGAAATAAGTCAGAAAAACAAATCATGTACTAATGCATGTATGTGGAATCCAGGAAAATGGTATGGATAAATTTATTTGCAAAGCAGAAATAAAGACATAAACAGAGGGGGGGGGAAAAAGTGTATGGATACCAAGGGGGGACATAAGGGTTAGTGGGATGGATTGGGAGAATGGAATTGACGTATCACCTACTTTATGCACAGTAGTGTTAACTAATGAGAACCAACTGTATGCTGAGGAAACTCTACTCCGTGCTCTGTGGTGACCTAAATGGGAAGTGAGGTGGAAGTCACTCAGTCATGTCTGACTCTTTGTGACCCCATAGACTATACAGTCCATGGAATCCTCCAGGTCAGAATCCTGGAGTGCATATCCCTTCTCCAGGAGATCTTCCCAACCCAGGTCTCCTACATTGCAGGTGGATTCTTTACCAGCTGGGAAGCCCAACCTAAATGGAAAGGAAATCCAAAAGAGAAGGGACAGAGGTATACATATAACTCATCTACTTTTCTGTACAGCAGAAACTAATAACGCGGTAAGGCAACTATACTCCAGTAAAAAAAAAAAAGAAAATATACACACAGATAATCAAATGAAAGCACAGTGCCAGAGAACACTGTGGATTAGATTCTTTTTCTTCAGTGGAATTCTTTAAGTATTAACCAATTTAACCTTTGGAAATGAAGTACAAAAAGCTGCATTTCACTGTGAAGCTGTAATTTGTCCCTGGCCGCTTTATTCTTCACTAAAGCATTCTCTAAGCTTTGTATGTTTAATATTTAGCATATAATAAGAAACAGTATTTTTAAAAGTCTAGATATAGCAATGATCTCAAAGCCCATACCTGGACATGGTTTTCTTGAACTTGTTCGGGATAAGCTTGTCAGTTAGCATGCTCTCCCCACTGCCTCTCAGCCTTCCTATTTCAACCTGACACTCCAACCCACACATCTGATATAATCAATAATGAAAAATTTTCCAGGTTAAGTCTAAGATAATAGCCACCACTGCTGATCTAATATCAATCATTTTTGTTATTGCTCCAATGAAACATGTTTGTTATTTATGTAGAGGACAGTATGCTTTACTAACTACTCAAAAGTCAAGTCACTGGGTAGAATTCATTATTTCTCTTTACTACAATCATATGCTTAGGAAAAAACTATAATTCATGCAGTAATTAAATGAAATAGAAATTTAAAAAATGAAATTACTTTCTTATAAAAAATAACGTATATGCATGGCCACCAAAATTATGCCCCTCCCCTTGCATTTGAATTATTATAAGCATTTCAGTAGTAGTTTTCAACTAATCAATCCCTGCTTTTAGGTTTGAAATATATTTCTGTAAAAATGTTTGAACTGACTAAAACTTTTTCTCTTGGGCTCTGAAGTACACAGAATGCTATACTTTACCTGAATTTGAAACAGCTGTAAAGGTTAAAAAGTTATTTTATATGTTGTCTTATTAAAAAGTCACAAGTTGAGTAAATGATTTTATAACCTTATGCTGAAGTAGTTTTAAGTTGACTAGTTTCTTTCGTATTACAGTATTTCAAAAATGGGTGAACCATGCTATCAGAAGTATCTTTGGAACCAGAACATATCATTTCTGTGCCTTTGTGGTTTTTACCTTTCGCAGCAACATAGAGTGGCAGGGAGGGGGGATTTTAGGTGTCAGGCAAAACCAGACTTGAATCGTGGTTCCATCACTTAGGAACAGTATGACCATATGTAAGTTATGTAACCACTTTCAGCTTGCATTTCATCCTTTGAAAAATAGAGGTGACAGTATCTCAAAGAATTTCAAGTGAAGAGTAAGTTAATGTGTATAAAGTGCCAAGCATAGCAGCTATGCGTCAAACATGCTCAGTAAGTACTGGGACTCTCCCGGTGGCTCAGATGGGAAACAACCTGCCTGCAGTGCAGGAGACCTGGGTTCCATCCCTTATCAGTTTGACTTTACTCTTTCTAGACAGCCACTGACTTACTCAGTATTTGTTAGACCAAAAAATTTCAAAAATCTATTTATAATAAAACCCTGGAAACCAATCTGGCACTAAATTAGTGAGACCATGATGGTTTGAAATCATGTCTACTTTAACCTCGAGTTTATTTCCTTTCTTCTGGAATTCTTATATTGGCACTCAATCTCTGTCCTTCCATAATATTTCTCTTTATATTTTTCTGTATCTTTTTCTACTTATATTTTATGACTATTTTATTGTGTTCATGGTGTAAAACATCTAAAAAATTTTTAGGAAAAAAAAAGGATATAATTAAGTCTAAATGAAGTATTCCTAATCTAAAATAAGAAAATTACCCATTTTGTCATGATTCATTCAATGATTTTATCCATCTATGTACTACTTAAGGAACCCCACTATTTGCCAGACTCTCTTCCAGGACTAAGCAAGTTATCTCATAAAACAAAACCTTCGATTTACAGAGTCTCCTCTCTAGTTGGGAAAACCAACAAATTTACATCCAAATCTCATTTCTCCCTTGGCAAGGAGGTTTAATATTACCCCTTCTATTTTCAGATGAGAGAACTGAAATAGAGTAATATGCCTCAAACAGCAGTGCTGGGGCAAATTAGGAGACAGCGAAGGTCTCCTGACCTAAACACTACTCCAACCACATCGTATCTCCTGCTGCTTACAATTATGGTGCGTTTTCTAACAGACAAAATTGAACATGAGAAGAACTACTGAAGTATCTATAATCTTAAAGACTTAGAAGTATTAGTCAAATAAGTTAATCAGCTTCTGAAAAATGTAACTATTTAATAATTCTGAAAATAGTTTAAAGGGAAACTAATTGTAAGTCTCATATCAAGCAGTCAGATTTTTTTTCCTTCCAATCAACACAAAATATAATTTTCGAAACCTTTAGAGATCACTAAAATTATGCTAAACAAGTATGCCAGAGAAAAGGTAAACAAAACAGTCATATGTATACTTGGTAAACTATAAAGTGGAAAATTGAGAATTTCGAAACACTGTTTCAGTGTGAAGGACAGATTTTCACAAACAGGTGTATCTTCACAATAGTGAAACTGCCAGAGGTGGACTTACCTGCAAGAGCCCACTCTCCTGTACCATGGGTGTGCCCACTGTAATATAAAACATACGTATCATGCCTAGGCCCATCCACAGTCCGAAGTTCAAGGAAAGCTTTCAGTTTGGAATGTAGAGTATCAAATGATAGTCCACTTGTAGAATAGTCACACCCATAGGTCTCAATCATGTGATAAGCAAAAAATCTTTGGATAGCGTTGAGCATGCCAGTAGACCTCAAATTTAACTCCTGTACATGTTCTGGTGGAAGAAGTGTTGGCTGACCATCAGGACTGAAAAAGGAGGAAAAACCATCATTTTGGTGTTCATGAAGTGTTCATTCTATGTCACATGCCTATTTTTCATTTATAATAAATTATCTAAGATTCCTAAGTTACTAATAACTAAATGGCATAATCTATTTTTTTTAAAAAACCCATCTTTTCTAAATTTTCCACAGTGCTAAGAATTATGCTTGGAAAATCAAAGCCTAGTTTCTAAAACTTACACCTCTTATCAGTAAGATCTGGTGCTCTGTGACAACCTAGAGGGGTGGGATGGGGGGGTCTGTGGGACGGAGGTTCTAGAGGACAGGCACATATGTACACTGATGACTGGTTCATGGTATTGTAGAGCAGGTACCAACACAACACTGTAAACCAATTATCCTCCACAAAAAAATAAATAAAACTGAAAGCTGGGAGGATATCTCTAAATGTGGATTGTACTACTCTTCATTCCCATCTTCTTACCAAATGAGATATTAGACAAGACTTTAAAAAGCAAGACTGTACTAATTTTACCCCCAAAATGTTTCAAGAACACTGGATTGGGGACAATAAGGAAAGTACTTTTTTCTTAAGAAAAAACACAGTATGGAAACAGTATTTTAAATTAATTTCCATATTGAAAAATAGTCTTTATAAAGTGTTCAAGTTTTACTAACTTGAGGTACACAAATGACAGAACAACTTACCTTTTAATAAATGACATTTAAAACAATTATTATAATTTAAGTCCATTGCCTTATACTACTGAACACTAATTGAAGACAGGCTTGATCCTGGAATACATGTAAAATGGTACGTTGGTAAAGATGATAACCAGTTCTTAAAACTAGCAGGATCAAATCACTTTTCAGGGAGAATAAAAATCATCACTCCTATCCAGAAACTGGATTTCTAAATAGGAATTTTGAAGACTTTACATTTGCATCATGTATTATCCATACTATTCTGATAATTCTACAAAAGCTTTCATTAAAAAACATTTTGTCCCATATTTTATCATTTAACAGCCACAAAACAGTAAAAGAGTAAACAATCATAATCAAAAATTACAATAAAAATCTGTAAATTACTACTTCCCCATATTCTTCCTAGAGAGTTGTCACATCTTTATGGAATCTTTTGAAATATATTTCTTTTACTCCTCATGAGAATCTTCACCTTATTTATCAAATCTTTAATATGGAGGAAAATATTTACTACAAATAGTCAACTTTGTGGTTTTATGTCAAATATTTAAAATCCAATAAAAACTTTATGTTCAGTTTTCTCCCACCTCTGCCAAGGAAAATATGATGACTACTTTGTCAGCAGAATTCATTACTGGCAAGGAACATTTTTTTTTTTTCCTATTTCAAAGGTACTTAAACTATAAAAGAAAAACTAAAATTTGGTAATGATTATAGATTGAAACAGATTAGGCACATATTAGAGTCAAAATTATTTGAATAAAACTTCCATGAGATATTTGATTTTATTGTGAATGTTTCTGAATTCCTGGTATTTGGACTACATTTTCAAGTAGATAGTATTTTTACATTCATATTCTCAAGACCGCTTCATGACATTCCTCTGTCTGCATTTTAAATTAAGACACTGAGGTTGAGAGAGGTTATGATTTGCCTAAAGGAACACAGAACTAGAATTTAGGATGCTCAGGTCCAGTGTACATTCTGTTACTAGTGTACAATCTATTACACATCACCATGTGGTTTCACAACTCCTTAAACAAGATATTCCTAAGAAAATGGAAGAACTTTACAAAGAAAATCTACTCATATTTTTAGCTAAAATATACTCTAATCACATTTACCAAAAAAAAAAAAACTTTAATTGAACCCTTAAGATTACTACTCAGAGTAGATAAAGGTTTTTAAACATTTGGGATAAATGAAAAAAATGCAAGAGTATTATATTTTGAGAATATTATAGCTTTGAAAAAATGAGCTATGAGCTTATATTCATACAAATATTAGAAGAATGTTAAGAGTTAAGGTACTATGACTAATTACACTAGGTTACTGTACCTGCAAAAATTGGTGGGAATCACAATCGCATATCCAACAGATGTTCCTCCTAAACAGCTACCCAATTCATGGAAGAGGCCATGAGCCATAGATTCCAAAGGCAGAACAATTAGAAACATGCTCAAGAAGATTCCGTTTGTTGGCTAAAAAAAATTTAAAACAGTATGTTTACATAGCATGTGTGATTAAACTTATATATGTGAGTATGCATATATATTTATATAAATCCATATTTATTCATTTTTTGCCCCTACTTCCAAAAAGGATTAAAAGGATAATTAATGATCTAAAATCCATTATAAGTTGAAAGACACAAGAACACAGGGATAAACAACAGAGCCTAAGTTTATCTAGAAGCTCCTGGACATCATGGTAAAACAAACATAACATATTGTATTTTTTTAAAAATTTGTCAAATAATATCCCAAACTAAAAACATAATATACATATATGTAATATCTTTAATATGACAGAGAAAAAAAGCCAGAAAACAAATCCTTTCCTGTTAAAACCCACATGCTTTAAATCATTTTTCAAATAACACACTCATTTATCAGAGTGTAGAAAGGGTCTTTTTTTTCCCCTGTGAAAAGTCCGGAAATTAAGAGAAAATTTTAAAATGTAAACTCCTTAAAACTATAAAAATGAATTCCATTCTTAAACTTATAATACAGCTTTCCTTTGAAAATATCTAGACTCTTTGTAACTAAATCAAAACCAAAATGTTTATCTATACATTAAGGACATTTAAGCAGCCTAAAAACAATGGAAAAAGGGAGGCAGGCGAAATTTTAAGAGAAGGCAGATTTAGGTAGTATTTGCAATTAAAATGAAAACGGACCCATTTAAATGAAAAGAAAACGAAAGCATGAGTCACTCAGTATCAACCAGTATTCTTACAATACAGATAGTACTTCACATTCTCTGTGTTGCTACTGTACATATTACACAGTTAGGTGTGTATGTGCATGAATGAATACATGTTTTTCTAACACTAACAAGTGGTTCATTTGATCAGAATTTTAGTAAAAAAAAAAAAAAGTTGAATCCCATAATGGAAAAATGGATAATGCCCTGTTTTTGGTACACTGGTGGAGGTGGTGTAGTCGCTAAGTCATGTCTGACTCTCGAGACCCCATGGACTGAAGCCCGCCAGGCTCCTCTGTCCATGGGATTTCCCAGGCAAGAATAGTGGAGTGGGTTGCCATTTCCTTCTCCAGGGGATCTTCCCCCTCCCAGGGATTGAACCCAGGTTTCCTGCATTGTAGGCAGTCTCCTGCATTGCAGCTGGATTCTTTACTGCCACCAGGGAAGCCCACTTTTGGTATATTCTGTGCTATCAATTACATAAATAATACAGTACATGCTCAATTTAGAAACGAGAAAAAGATATTAGATTCATTCTGAGTACCATTAACATACACAGATAACTCTTTAAAAATATGTTCAAACTTCATGCAATATATGTAATCACAAATATTTAGTCTTTTACCAAAGTGGGATGATATATAATGTTCTGCAAACTTTCTAATACACTATAAGCCTATTAATGTAATTCTAAATCATTTGTAAATACCAAATGGCATTACTATCATATTTATGAAATTTTAATTAGCTGATTTCCTATTTGTGTATTTAGATTCCTTAAATTTTTCCTGTGATAAACAAAACCAGAATAAGTACTGAGTACTCTGATGATTATATTAAATATCTTTGATCATTTGGGTTCAACTTTGGTGAAATATTTTGCCATGGGGCTTTCTATTAATGATTCACAGTTTTGTTTTGCTATCAATGTAAGTGTAATGTAGTCATGTTATGTCTTGCTAAATCTTCTCCATCTACCTAAAGATCAAGATGGTATTTTACATTATCCTTTAAAGGTTTTGTTTTTTTTTTCACTTTGCTTTTAAGTCTATAATCCAAATATAGTTGAGTTTTATAAGAACAGTTCAAATTAAGTTTTTTATATGAGCACTCAACTATTTACCAATTACTGAAAATCTCAACCATTCCACATTACTGTGCTAATTTTGTCATGAATCAGGCATTCTGATACCTGCTTTTTTACTCTTATGTTCCACTGGCCTATCTGTTTTTTTAAATAGTTCCTTTTGCCCACATTTCCTCCTTTCTTTCTGGGACTCCAGTAAAACACAAATGAGATTTCTCTGTATCTTCTATGAGTCTTATCCTTCTGTACAGTATATCCTCTATTTTTCCTCTTAAAGCTTCTACTTTCATAGCTTTCTCTGAACTATATTTTCCAGCTCACTAATGCTCACTTCTCATTTGTCTGCTAAACTTGCACGCTGAATGAATTTCAGGTATTTTATTTTCTGATTCAAAAACATGTCTAAAAAGAAAATAAAAAGCAGTCTCCTGCATTGCAGCTGGATTCTTTACTGCCACCAGGGAAGCCCACTTTTGGTATATTCTGTGCTATCAATTACATAAATAATACAGTACATGCTCAATTTAGAAACGAGAAAAAGATATTAGATTCATTCTGAGTACCATTAACATACACAGATAACTCTTTAAAAATATGTTCAAACTTCATGCAATATATGTAATCACAAATATTTAGTCTTTTACCAAAGTGGGATGATATATAATGTTCTGCAAACTTTCTAATACACTATAAGCCTATTAATGTAATTCTAAATCATTTGTAAATACCAAATGGCATTACTATCATATTTATGAAATTTTAATTAGCTGATTTCCTATTTGTGTATTTAGATTCCTTAAATTTTTCCTGTGATAAACAAAACCAGAATAAGTACTGAGTACTCTGATGATTATATTAAATATCTTTGATCATTTGGGTTCAACTTTGGTGAAATATTTTGCCATGGGGCTTTCTATTAATGATTCACAGTTTTGTTTTGCTATCAATGTAAGTGTAATGTAGTCATGTTATGTCTTGCTAAATCTTCTCCATCTACCTAAAGATCAAGATGGTATTTTACATTATCCTCTAAAGGTTTTGTTTTTTTTTTCACTTTGCTTTTAAGTCTATAATCCAAATATAGTTGAGTTTTATAAGAACAGTTCAAATTAAGTTTTTTATATGAGCACTCAACTATTTACCAATTACTGAAAATCTCAACCATTCCACATTACTGTGCTAATTTTGTCATGAATCAGGCATTCTGATACCTGCTTTTTTACTCTTATGTTCCACTGGCCTATCTGTTTTTTTAAATAGTTCCTTTTGCCCACATTTCCTCCTTTCTTTCTGGGACTCCAGTAAAACACAAATGAGATTTCTCTGTATCTTCTATGAGTCTTATCCTTCTGTACAGTATATCCTCTATTTTTCCTCTTAAAGCTTCTACTTTCATAGCTTTCTCTGAACTATATTTTCCAGCTCACTAATGCTCACTTCTCATTTGTCTGCTAAACTTGCACGCTGAATGAATTTCAGGTATTTTATTTTCTGATTCAAAAACATGTCTAAAAAGAAAATAAAAACCTGTCCAGTTCTTTTTCAATCTGCCTTGTCGCTTTTTTATATTAATAGCTTCCAGTTTCCCACCATTATTTACTATCTTTGCTTTTGTTTTTCAACTTGCTAAGTATGATGGCTTTCTGTGTTTGATAATTCCAGTAAACCAAGACATTTTGGTCTGCCTATTGTCTGCTGGTTCTGTTGCTTCTTCCTCTTGATGCCATGTGAGTGAGTGAGAAAGAGAGAGAATCTGGTTATATTTATGAGTTGAATACTGTATGCAAAAAATTATTATATGACTAAATTTCAGAACTAGGATAATTATACCTTCTCCAAGAGGATTTCTGTTTCTTCTAGGGAGCTGTGGGCATTAACAATTTATATATCTTAATCCAGGCTGTATCACTAACAGGATACAGTATCAGGATGCAAATTCATTAGAGGGTGTAAAGTATTTATTAAAAAAATATTCCTACTATAAACACCAACTTCTTATACAACTTATATCCAAGAGAATATACACAGTTTTTATACTTAGGTTAATAACTATATCAGTTAGAAAAATCACTCTCTTATGACATAGCTTACAATTTAAAAGATGCAACAACTGTCACAACAGTTGATAGAGCAACTTCAATGGCTGTTTTTAAACATTACCTGTTTAACTCTTAGGTTTAACAGGTAATCATCCAATCTACAAATATTGATAATTTCATTATTTTCTTTTCAATTTCTATACCTCTATTGCATGTACTGTTCCATTATAATAGGAAATACTTTGATCAATTAAACCCTTATCCACATGAAAGTGGATGGGGAGCTTTTAGATATGGATGGCTAACTGTACTACACCATAAATATAAGGGACTCCAGCAACTGCAAATTTTGGTATTCAGAGGAGGTACTGGAATCAATCCATTGTAGATACCTAAGGATCACTGTACATTCAAATTATGTCAGCCATTTACATAAAATAATTACTGGCGGGGGGATCAAAATGGTGGAGGAGTATGACAGGAAGCTCACCTTTCCTAACAAAAACATTAAAAACACATCTACGAGTGGAATGACTGAAAACGGAACATGTACTGAAAGCCAGCGGGAGACCTCAGACTTTTCAAAGGGTAAGAAAACCTCCACGTAACTGGGCAGGACAAAAGGAAAAGGAAACAGAGATGAAGCCTGCACCCAGGAAGGAGCTGTGGAGGCAAGTTTCCCACCCCCTGGGCAGTCCCTCGCCAGCACAGAGATCAGCCTAGATGGAGGGAGCTTCAGAGGCTAGGAGTAGAGCGCAGCGTTGGCGGAGGGCACAACAGTAACGCGAACAGAGGCTGGCACTGCCGCCCTGCACTTCCCGCCTAAGATGCTCACATGCTGGTGAAGTTGGGGGTTAAGTACTAAAGTACAGGCTTCAGAGGTCAGACGCAGGGAGGGGACCAGGGTTGGCTGTCTGGAGACAGCCTGAAGAAGCTGGACGGCAGCAACAGAGCAGGTACTCAGAAGAAGCTGGGGCTGATGAGAGACGAAGTGCCATTGTTGAGGGGGTGTGCATGGGAAGAGGGGTGAGACCACCGTAAGAGCTCCTTTCCCTGTGACCACTTGGCAACAGGACACTACCCACAGCAGTTCTGGGGGCAGGCGCAAGTCACTGCAGCCATCCTAGGCCCCAGAGGTGGCTATGAACTG